TATTTTATCTGGAAATATTGAAACTACAAATTTCGGGACGCGTTTGATTGACACATCTATGCACTTTCACAGAGTAAACTTTATCCTTAATACTTAAGAAAAGTAGAAATTTCGTTGTGCATTAATGAAAAATATTAAACTATAATCCAGAAAATAAAGAGTAGAAATGTGAGGAAGCAAAACCAACTCACCAGTATTGTCAGTTCGTGCTCAGTGATGTGTGCAGAGTTTAACAAATTGAACACACCCGTGAAACGTAAAATGTTTTTGTAAACAAGTCACGAGCTCTGTTATTGTTAATGTTTACGTTTCACCGGGTGTGTTCAATTCAAGACTGACCTCAGGGTCATCAATTTCTACAATCTACACCTTTGTGTTTTGTGTAAAAATTATGCTCTTAAGTTAAAAAACACATAAAGTTTTACTTTATTAAAGAAATTGCCAGAATGAGAATTCAAAACTTAATTAAATATCCGAAACCAATGCAATTATGTTGGTTTAATTTTAGGTTCCGTTTTCATATCTAAATGTTTACATTTCCAAATTTCCTTAAGATTCTTTGCAAATTAGAAAAAGTTCATGTTCTCATGAACTACCGTGGGATGAGTGAGACCATTTCCATTGTGATGTGGTTGAAGTCAAAAAATAGTGCAAACTTTTTTTTTTTTTTTTTTAAATGATCGTTGAATGACAAAAATATGTGGCAAGTAATCAAAAAAGTTATGTAAATATAATATATGAATTTAATTTTTTGAGAATTCATGAGGTACATGAGCTACAACGCTTCACGCCTACATATTTATCATGAAGCGCTAACGCGCTTCATGAAATATGCCGGCGTGACGCGTCGTAGTTCATGTCCTCTTGAATTTTCAAAAATTAAATTCATCTCTTAAATATCCTTTATTCTTCATTTACGAAGAGATTTATAAATATGTAATGTTCACTATAATCATATGGAGTATTTTGTAAACTATAGCAAGCAGCTATTCGTGGTGATTTGTAAGAAGCTATGTAAAGGAGAAAGGCCTCAAACTGAGGTCAGTCTTGTGCACAAGAAGATGAGCGGTGTCGCCATGTCCAAGAAATCATTGGAATTATTAGAAAAACCCCGATATCAGATTCAACAAAATGTGGAAGAAAATCCTCATTAATTTTCTCCTGAGAATTTCGTGTATGTCAAATATTGACTCAGTTGAATACGTTTATCAAATTCTGCTTCCGTTAAACTGAAACATATTTCTATCTGAATTTATCGATAACATAGATCTCATGTATAAAATATCGAATTACAGAATTAATGTTGATAGATTTAAAATTATACCTGTGACATTTCAAAACTACAATTATCTTTCTTTTTTACTGGTTTATTTATTTTTCAGATATAAGATTGTAATTTGTAAGTTTTCCTATGCCCAGCATACAGGTAGGCGTCGGAAGCAAATTGAAAAAGGGGGAGGGGCTAAACCAACAAAAAATATTATGTCTGTTTTTGCAAAAAAGTGGGGGGGGGGGCTTAGCCCCCCCCGGTTCCGATGCCTATGCCCCAGAATTATTTTTGATTAAACAACGTGTTAAAGCCAATGTCTATACATAATATATAATTTACCGGTAAAGCAGGGGGCTGCGAACAAAAATGAACCAGATACATTTTTTTACTTCCGCCAAACTAAACATCAGACCGAAAGGTAATTTTTTTCAGTAAATATCGGACCTTTGGCCAGATTAATAGAGAGGCGTCAAACTAAGCAACTTGATGGTAAATCTTTTCCTAATTCTTGGATGAATAATCGAAAATCATGTGTTGATCATTGAAAGCCAACATTAATTCCTAAATAAAATATTTGCACAACTTCTATAGATTTAATTTCAATAAATTTTTATTCAAATTCATAGGTCGAAAATGTTTTGTTCTGAAATCTTTCTTATAAATTAAACATTTTTGGATGAATTTAAATTGGTTTTCATTTAATTCTTGACGAAAAAGAAGAACCTGTGCGGGATGCAGAATTAAAATTAGAACGTGGTACACTTCTTGCAATGTTAAACTTTTTATGATTTTTTTTAAACACACCACACCGTGAGAAATTGAATGTAAATAAAGAATAAGATAAAGGATATAAAATACTCTTATTGATATATACTATATTTCCTTTTTAAGATTATTTTACAAGCACTTAAGTTAACAAATTATCGATAATGATTAGGATTTTAAAGTTGATTTGAATTTGCTTCCGATTTTGATGAATTTATTTTTCATAATCGATTATCGGTTTTATTTTCTTGGAAATATAAAAATAAAAATAATCTTATAATGATTAAAATTCAGTCAATATTAAATAAAGTCAAAATGTATAAATAAAGAACTTCTTAATAGTGTTGTTGATATAACAAATGAATAAATTTCCTTCTACGCATCCCTGTATTAGACGCGCACTTAGCGTACAAACCCGAAATGTTGAAAATCCTCAAAATCTCGCATGACGTTATATTTTCTGTACACTGACGTCGTAGCCAGAGGTTAACCTCTCTTGAGGTTTAATTGTTTCTGCAAAAAATCTTATGGAAGTTTTTTAATCACACCTCCCAGAAAGTACAATATTTCGCTACCGATTTTATCTTTTTACTTGTCTCAGAAATTCTTTACATTGCCTTTGAAAGTGAAGTGTGTTTATAATTATATCATTTCTATTCCCAGCATCAACGATCCCCATTTGGAAGTGAACACAACCTTTCAGAGATTGCGAAGGAAATTTTCTGAGACAAATTAAGTGACAACTAGTAGTCTAATGTCTAAAAAATTTTATGGTTTAACTATATAAAGAAATAGCCGAATGCATGTTTGTATTTTGGAAATCAAAGACAAAGACAGTAAGGAAACCATTTTTAAAACAAATTTACATGCACCTAAGAATCAAACCTGCAAATTGTTTTATAAATATAACTGATATCCAACATAAAATCGATGAGTAATAAGGTAATCAATTTATAAAATTTTACCACGCTCGTTCAATCAAAGTGACACGCTGTTATAGAAATGATAGAACAATCATAAAAAAAAATAATTCAAAACAATCATTTATCGTCTGATGTTGTTTACTATAATTTATAAATGCTTGCATGAAGAACGAGGGCACATTTGATAGCATTGGCAGAAATCTGGGCGCACTGAAAAGAAAAAATTTCATTGATCTGTTACATGAAGTTTAATTAAACAATCTATTGATGCATCGATTTCCTGCGAGATAGGTAAGTGAAATGTTTTCCCGATATTGTGTTTTGATTTGCTAAAAAAAAAAGAATTCGCTAGATGTGTCATTTGGTACATATTAAATGTTGCATTTTTAAACACGTTCTTCAAAAAAAAATCGCTATAATTTTTGGGTCACCTCTCCATAATTTTGAAACGTTATTTGTGTGCAATTTAATTCAAAGTTTGTAATGAGAGAGAGGACACAGACCATAAAAAATGAACTTTTTGAAGTAACCCCCCCCCCCCCCAATTGTGTAAATGCGGTGCTTCATTACTGTTTTTAAATCCATATTGCATGTTTAGCGAAGACATGGTAGATAGCTCGATAATAGTATGCTAATGTGTCTAATGCACTATTATCTTATAGGTGTTTATAAGTCCTCTACCGATGAAACCGGAAGAGACTATAATAGGTTTCCTCCTCGTCTGTCTGTCAGTCTGTCCCACTTAGTTTTCCGCACTTTTCCCTTTAACGGTTGCAGATATTGAGCTGATTTTTGGCATGTGAGTATACCTTGATGAGTTACAGATCAAGTTTGCATTTCGTTCTGCTTTGGTGATTTTTGACGGGATTTCGACCTTTTTAAAATATCAAGAGGAAACAGATTTCCCACTTGGTTTTTCACATTTTTTTCCCTAAACGCTTGTAGATATCGAGCTGCTTTTTGATATGTGAGTTTACCAAAATGAGTTATAGGTCAAGTTTGCATTTTGTTCCGCTTCAATGCTTTTTGTGGAATGGTCTTTTTTAAGGAAGTCGCCCGCGTGACGCAATGGTTAGAGATAGAGTCGCGGTGTAAGGAGTTGATCCTTACGTCGCGGGTTCGAATCCCACTGAGGGACATGGATAAGCTTATAGGGAATGGGAAACCAAAAGGGAATAGTCGCCCGCGTGGCGAAATTGTTAGAGCTAGAGTCGCGGTGTAAGGAGTTGATCCTTACGTCGCGGGTTCGAATCCCACTGAGGGACATGGATAAGCTTATAGGGAATGGGACACCAAAAAGGAATAGTCGCCCGCGTGGCCCAGTGGTTAGAGCGTTTGCTCTAGAGTAAGGGGCTGATTCTTACGTCGCGGGTTCAAATCACACTGCGGGACGTGGAGACCAGTCCTTCGGATGAGACGGTATAAACCGAGGTCTCGTGTCGCAAAAGGTGCTGGCACGAAAAAGATCCCTCACTGCTCAATGACCCTCAGTTCCGAGTATAGGTCTAAATTTGCAGCCCTCCTCAGGCAAGTGTTAGCGTCTCCATGAGTGAAAAATTCTCGAAAGGGACGTTAAACAACGCAACAAACAAATAATTTTAAAGGGGAACCAGATTACACTAGTGGGTAAGGGACTAGTATTGAATATGCATTACTCTCAGAACTATATCTTACATGTAACTATTAATATAAGCAGACTTAAATATAACAATTTGACAAGGTATTTCAAACTAAATATAACATTTTCCTGTGCGTATCTTTGAAAGGTCTGTTCCATTGTGGTAAGCTGACACCAAATCACGGACATTTAAGCTATAAATGTTTTGTTCACATATTCTGTACGTACACTGCTTCCTGAGATCACACGCCAAATACTCCAATCTTCTTTATGCAAGAGACAATTTTTTTTTATTTAACCTGTACCCAACAAAATATGAAACTGATGTATTCATTTTCTTTATTTCATTAGCCTTTTTTTTTTAAACAAAAAATAATGCAAGTCATACTTTGAACTAAAAACATTAAACCATTTGAAAGAGGGTTTAAGTTCTTCCTTTTGAGGTATGCATTTCACTGGCCATTGTATTCTCTGTGATTCCCTTCACAAGCAGCTGAAAGTGAATAATGAACTTCCTTCAGCTACTTCAAATGTTTTAATGTTTTTCGAAATCTTCGGTCAATCTGGAACCATGACTGTCATTCACTGGGCCTCGGCTTTAATTTGCAAAATATAGATAATCAGAGATTACAGAGTTCACCTCAATGAATGTTGTCTTTAAGTAAGGCAAAGACCCACACTAAACTAATAATCTAGTAGTGTGCTTCCTTAGATACATGGGAATGAACTTATTTCAAAACTTTAAATTATAGTCACTCATCCAGAATATACGAATCAAATCCAGCATCTGAAGCAAGTTTGAGAGTGTTCATCAATTGATGCGTCAACCATGCAAGTTTGGTTCAGGTAGGTCTTATTGTTTCTTGTAATGGACCTGCTCCAAAAGCTTTAACCTGGTCACTCATCTGGAAAATGTAGGTCAAATCCTGCATCCAAAGCAACTATGGTGTGTTAAATAATAAACAAGCAATTCAAAGAATTGTGTTTCTTAGTGGATGGTATGCCATTACTTTTATGGCATATTTGTAAAATTTCTGAAAATTGGGTCAAACATGAAGGTCAAGGGGGTAAAAATCAAATCATGCTCTGAAACATCTTGTCACAGGTAATGCACATGTCAAATATGAAAGCCCTACCTCTTCTCAAACAAAAATTATAAGGCAAGATAACATTTTTAAAAAGTAGGTCAAACTTCAAGGTCACAGGGTCAGAAATCATAGTATAATTAGAAAGGTAATATACATTTATAATATAAAAGCCCTGTCTTTTCTCTTTCAAAAGTTATGACCAATTTAAAGTAATGTTAAAATTTTTGAAAATGTAGGTCAAACTTCAAGGTCAAGGTCTCGAGATAAAAAATCATAGTATATTTGGAAAGGTCTTGTCACAGGTAATGTACATGTGAAATATGAAAGCCCTATCTCATCTCATTCAAAAGTTATTACCAAGGTTAAAGTTTTTGTTACAGACGGACAGATTAACAAACGAATGAGATTTAATGGACAATAATGATAAATGATAATAAATGTACCTTCAGTGCACAGTTGGTTAACATACATGTAGGGCTTATAGTCACTTTAGAAAGAAACTGCTCCAAAAACTTTAACGTTGTCACTCATCTGGAAATGTAGGTCAAATTCAGCATCCAAAGCAAGTCCATTTTTAGATGTATCATTCATGAAAGATTGGTCCAGGTAAGGCAAATAGTTACTTTAGAATGAACCTACTCCAAAAACCTTAACTAAGTCATTATTTGGAAAATGAAGGTCAGATCCAGCATCTTAAGCAAGTCCAGTAGTGTGCATTTTTATATGTATCATCTATGCAAGTTTGGTCAGCATAGGCTTAAAGTTACTTCAGAATGAAATTGCTCCAAAAACATTAACCTGGTCACTCATCTAGAAAATATAGGTCAGATCCAGCATCCGAAACAAGACTGGTAGTGTGCATCCTTAGATGTATCATCCATGCAAGTTTGGTCAACATTAGTGCATATAGTTACTTAAGAATTGACCTGCTCCAAAAACTTTAACCTGGTCACTCATCCAGAAAATGTAGATCAGATCCAGCATCTGAAGCAAGCCTGTTAGCATGCATCTTTAGATATATCATCCATGCAAGTTTGGTCAACATCATCCTCACAAACCACGGCCAAAATGTACAATCCTCTCCCATTCTAGGAGAGTGCTACATGTGGACTTCCGACCGTGACTTGAGACGATGGGTCAACATAGGGTTTATAGTTTAAAATGAGACCTGCTTCAAAAATTTACCTTGCTCCAAAAATTTTAACCTGATCCAAAAACATTAAAGAATTTGTTGAAGTGAGCTAAAATATAGTTTTAATTTATATAAGATTGGGTATAAGTATGAAAGTTTTATGGCTTTATTTTTTTTTAATAATTTTAAAGCCATATATGAAATAAATTTTCATAAGACATTACAAGTAAAGGGAATCTTGCTCCCGTAGAAAAATGACCAGGGGTCATTTTTAGACATGGAAATTCCGAAAAATGACCCCAGAGCTTAGGAAAAGTGAATAATCTGTAGAAAAAGAACCCCAAGAGTCAGTTTATTTGTAATTTTATAACACATGAAAGTACTTACCTGCCCTCCTCCACGTCCACGACCCCTGCCACGGCCTCTTCCCCTTCCTGCCACCTGGTTAATTGGTCTCCTTTCACTCACATCCTATATGATAACAAGAGACCCATTGACCACAATATGCACCAGAGTAACTTCAGTATTCATTATGGAATAAAATTTACATCCTTTGAATATTATATCCTTTATTTCTTATGAAAACCATTGTGGTTTATCAGTCAGTAAACGCCACTAAGCAAGCCACCTGCATAGATTTCTTGAGCAACGGCTCTTTCATCAAATATGCATACAATGACATATACACATCTAATACAGTATTTAACATATATTCAATTTTACTTTATATGTTTTTTTTGATACAGATATAAATATAAACAATAAAATGTCTTTCTTTGTTTGTTAGTATGGGAATTAATGTTGCAGCTATTGCAGAAAAAAATTACAAAACCAGCTTATGCAGGTTATGTATTTTTTCTGCAACAGCTGTGACATTAATTTCTGTACTAACAACCAAAGAAAAGTATTTTATTGTTTAAATATAATTGGACATTCACTGTTCATTATATGTCAGACTGACATTATTTTTAGGTAATAAATCTAAAAACAAATGCACACATTATGAGAGCCAAAGCTCTCATTAAATTCCCATGTAAAACTGTGATCTCCTATTGTGGCCCCACCCTACCTCAAGAGGCCATGTTTTGAACAAACTTGAATCTACATTACCTTAGACTGCTCCCAAATTAATATTACTAATCATGGCTTTGCTGTTCTTGGGAAGAAGAATTTTATCTACATACACTATATTCCTAGGTAAAACAATTATCACCTATTGTGGCCTCATCCTAGCCTTAGGGGTTATGATTTAAACAAATTTGAATCTAGTACACTACGTAATGAAGTTTTCATATACTTTCATCTTTTCTGGTGCAGTGGTTATTGAGAAGAATATTTTAAACAAGAGGCCCATGGCCCACATCGCACACCTGAGCACACTGGCTAGGGAGAAGCAGATTGAAAAGTTTTAATTATTAAAATTCTAATACAAGATTAATATAAGCTAAAGATTTTGTATGTATGAATGTTATTATCATTCTCGGAGTCGTCTGTGAAACCTCATTCCTATCTAAATGTATTCCGGGCGTAGTTTTTGAAATCAGTAGGAATGGCATATTGTGTGTGAGTAATTTGATGGCCTACCAGTCTGTAGAAGGTATGTAAAATTACCTAATGTCTAGAACTTGACCTGGTACACATAACTTAGTCCTCACACCTATATACATACTGAACAAGGTATGATCCCCTACACCATGTACACACACATGCCCAAAAGCAGATCAGTAAAACTGTCATATCACTTCTTTCCCTTTAACATCGACCATTTCCTAATGATTGCTCGTTATTATTATATTATTGATGTGTTCTGGTTTCAAACAAAATTAATTTTAAAAAGTATATGAATTATGTCTGCTAAAATCAACATCAAAATCATGAAATGGTTCGGTTTGGAATAAATTCACAAGTACAAATTGTTGGATCGACAACATAACAAGTTTCATAATACATGTAATATTGTGCTTTATCCCGTACTTTACTATGACCAAACATATCTGAGTAATCGGAATTTAATTCAGGCCACAGTTTCAAAAAACGGGGGGGGGGGGGGGGGGGGGGGGGGGCAACTTCCCAAAAAACCTGACAAGCAAAAAAAAAAGCATAAACAAAAAAAAAATATACTGACCAAAACTGGGGGTCCAACTTCCCAAAATTACCTGACAAGCAAACAAAAAATTTACTGTACAAATCCTATAAAGCCAAGCAAAAAAATATGTTTGTTTACTGTTACAGGCTGAAATAAAATAGGGTCGGTAGGTAGGAATTTTGTTTTATTTCATTATTTTTTATACACAAATTCACATGAATTAGTTGAATTACAAAACAGTTTTACCATTGTTTGGTGCTTTTCTTTTGTTTGGGCTTGCCATATGGGTGATAGACAATATCTTTCTTGCCAATTGCCTTACAGCTACCACACAATGGTAAAACTGCAACAAACTTGTTGATGTAGATACTAAAACACACCATTTCTACCGTAGTATTTTTGATTTTGATTTCAAACGACCAATTAAGATGCATGTAAAAATTAGAGTGATTTCCAGATTTTTACAACGAAAAAAAAAATTGGGTCGGCGATTAAATATAGGGTCGGTCGGGTAACCGTAAACAAACATATTTTTTTATTCAACTAATATCCTATAATTTGCCAGTACCCGACCTTACGACATCAGAAAGTGAGGGGGCCAACCAGCATCTAAAGGGAAATTTACTACAGCATAATACTATACTCAGAAAAAGAGGCCCATGGGCCACATCGCTCACCTGAGTAACTTTGGCCATACTGTTCTTAACCAGATTTCCCCCTTGTAATACTTATTGTGGCCCAACCCTACCCCCGGTGGTCATGATTTTAACAATTTAAAATCTACACTATCCCAGGATGCTTCCACATAAGTTTCAGCTTTTCTGGCCCAGTGGTTCTTGAGAAGAAGATTTTAAAGATTCTTCCTATATATTTCAATGTAAAATTGGATTCCCTATTGTGGCCCCGCCTTACCCCTGGGGTCATGATTTTTACAATTTAGCATCTACACTACCCCAGGATGCTTCCACATAAGTTTCAGTTTTTCTGGCCTAGTTGTTCTTCAGAAGAAGATTTTTCTGAAATATTTCAATGTAAAACTTGGATTCCCTATTGTGGCCCCGCCTTACCCCCGGGGGTCATGATTTTTACAATTTAGCATCTACACTACCCCAGGATGCTTCCACATAAGTTTCAGTTTTTCTGGCCCAGTTGTTCTTCAGAAGAAGATTTTTCAAGATTTTTCCTATTTATTTCAATGTAAAACTTGGATTCCCTACTGTGGCCCTGCCCTACCCCCGGGGGTCATGATTTTAACAATTTAGAATCTACACTATCCCAAGATGCTTCCACTTAAGTTTCAGCTTTTCTGGCCCAGTGGTTCTTGAGAAGAAGATTTTTAAAGATTTTTCCTATTTATTTCAATATAAAATTTGGATTCCCTATTGTGGCCCCGCCCTACCCCCAGGGGTCATGATTTAAAAATTTAAAATCTCCATTACCCCAGGATGCTTCCACATAAGTTTCAGCTTTTCTTGCCCAGTGGTTCTTGAGAAGAAGATTTTTAAAGATTTTTCCTTTATATTTCAATGTAAAACTTGGATTCCCTATTGTGGCCCCGCCCTACCCCCGGGGGTCATGATTTTGACAATTTAGAATCTACACTACCCAAGGATGCTTCCACATAAGTTTCAGCTTTTCTTGCCCAGTGGTTCTTGAGAAGAAGATTTTTAAAGATTTTTCCTTTATATTTCAATGTAAAACTTGGATTCCCTATTGTGGCCCCGCCTTACCCCCCGGGGTCATGATTTTAACAATTTAGAATCTCCACTACCCCAGGAGGTTTCCACATAAGTTTCAGCTTTTCTTGCCCAGTGGTTCTTGAGAAGAATATTTTTAAAAATTTTTCCTTTATATTTCAATGTAAAACTTGGATTTCCTATTGTGGCCCCGCCTTACCCCCGGGGGTCATGATTTTGACAATTTAGAATCTCCACTACCCCAGGAGGCTTCCACATAAGTTTCAGCTTTTCTGGCCTAGTGGTTCTTGAGAAGAAGATTTTTAAAGATTTTTCCTATATATTTCAATGTAAAACTTGGATTCAATATTATGGCCCCGCCATATTCCTGGGGGTCATGATTTTAACAGTTTAAAACCTACACTATCCAAGGATGCTTCCAGTTTCAGCTTTTTTGGCCCAGTGGTTCTTGAGAAGAAGATTTTTTAATGACCCCACTCTATTTTTGTCTTTTCTTGATTATCTCCCCTTGTAAGGGGACTTGGCCCTTTATTTTAACAATTTAAACTCCCCTTTACCCAAGAATACTTTGTACCAAGTTTGGTTAAAATTGGCCCAGTGGTTCTTGAGAAGAAGTTGAAAATGTGAAAAGTTTACAAATGGACAGACGGACAGACAGACGGACAGACAGTGGACAATGGGTGATCTGAAAAGCTCACTTGAGCTTTCAGCTCAGGTGAGCTAAAAAAAGGGGATGGGCATGTAATTAATACATTTTTTTTTCAAAATGACCAAATTGACTCTGTTGGAAATTGATAATGTTGATGCGAATATATACAAGTAAACTGTTCCTAAGGGGAAAAAAAGATAACATCAAAATGTAATATTATACATATTTGTAATTAGTTTCTAAAATTTACGATATGCAGATGACTTGTATTTAAAAAGTTAATTTTGATGTAACTTCCATCTCCTTAAATAACAGTCCCCCCCATCTAGGGGGACAGTATTAATTTGTTTTACACAAGACTTTCACTCTTTTGGTACTGTCACAACTGTGGGGAGTGGTTTACTTTCCCAATACCGGTAGTTATAAGCCAACTTGATTGTAAAAATATTTTATTAATGTATGCAATTTCAAACAAATGAAAGGGGGAAGCAAAGTTTATTCATGCAAATCGATATCCATAGTTACATCGTTCAATAAAGTAAAATCTATAAGAACAAAATGCTTGTACACTGTGTTAGCAAGAATTTACTGAAAAGCAATTCATAAAGTTGCACCAAAACACTATCAGAACTGTCTGCAGTTAGCATTGGTGAGTGAACCTATTTTGTCCTCGGTAGATCTATATGTGTAATATACAGCGTACATTGTACATGTAGCTGCATGGACTAATCTTCGTTTCCTTAGTAACTGTGGAATACCTGTGTATTGTGCGCGTTCAAGCTGAGAGGGATTTCCTGTCACTGTGTTGGATATATATTTCACTCCTTTGTGAAAGACCAAGGGTTTGGATTAAGTCTATTTCATTTTTGATTTTTGCAACATTTTGACAGTTGTAAAATATAAAATCATGGATCGGGGGATTATGATTTCCGACCCCCCCTCCCCCACCTCTGAATCTTCCATTGCCGTCTGAACTTCATATTATTAAAAACCAGAAGTCTCTGATGAGACTGTACCTCTACTGGTTGTACTTATAAAGGAAGATAAAAGTAGCATTTGGACTTGAAACTTTGCAACAGCAATAAATAGAAAAATGATCATTGGTTTAGTCTCTTTTTGTGGCAAGATTTATTGCAATCAGACTAAAACTATAGGATGAGTAGCCTTTTAAAACAATTTTACAGAAATTTCGATTTAAGTAACCATGGCAACATCATACAACAAAATCAAAAAACAATAACATCAATTATGTATCTCAGTGTAGTCTACTTGTATGCCACTTTATTCTGAATTCAGACAAAAAGTGTAGTAGGAGTAGCATTTTGAAAGTATTTCAAGAAAATTTCTATTTTTAGTAACCATGGCAACACTGTTCATTGAAATCCAAAACTGGTATAGAAAAATATGTATCTTAATGTAGTCTACTTATGTGCCAAGTTATATTGAAATCAGGCCAAAACTGTAGGAGGAGTAGCATTTTGAAGCTATTTCAAGAAAATTTCTATTTCTAGAAACCATGGCAACACTATTCATCGAAATCAAAAATCGATATAAAGAATTATGTATCTTAGTGTAGTCTACTTGTTGGCCAAGTTATACAGAAATCGGACCAAAACTGTAGGAGGAGTAGCGTTTTGAAAGTATTGCACAGAAATTTATATTTTTAGTAACCATGGCAACACCGTTCATTGAAATCAAAAACCGATACACAGAATTATTTATCTTAGTATAGTCTACTTGTTGGCCAAGTTATATTGAAATCAGACCAAAACTGTAGGAGGAGTAGCATTTTGAAAGTATTTCACAGAAATTTATATTTTTAGTAACCATGGCAACACCATTCATTGAAATCAAAAACCGATATACAGAATTATTTATCTTAGTGTAGTCTACTTGTTGGCCAAGTTATATTGAAATCAGACCAAAACTGTAGGAGGAGTAGCGTTTTGAAAGTATTTCACAGAAATTTATATTTTTAGTAACCATGGCAACACCGTTCATTGAAATCAAAAACCGATAAAAAGAATTATGTATCTTAGTATAGTATACTTGTTGGCCAAGTTATATTGATATCAGACCACAACTGTAGGAGGAGTAGCATTTTGAAAGTATTTCCCAGAAGTCTCTATTTTTAGTAACCATGGCAACACTGTTCAGTGAAATCAAAAACTGATAAAGAGAATTATGTATCTTAATGTAGTCTACTTATGTGCCAAGTTATATTGAAATCAGACCAAAACTGTAGGAGGAGTAGCGTTTTGAAAAATTGTTTACAGGCGGATGGCAGACACCTTACTATCGCATAAGCTCTTCTGGTCTCTGACCAGTAGAGCTAAAAATAAAGTTGTATGTTTTGATAACAATTACAGTCAAATTAACATCAAAAATGCAAGCAATATATGTGCAAAATATCAAGTCTATATCTCTTACAGTTCTTGAGATACAAGCTTTGACGGACAGACAGACAGACAGACACCGGGTAAAGTGATCCCTTAGTGCCGCTCTGCTCTGCAGACAACACAAAAATATGTTGCATATGAGTATATACTTGGAATGTGAATATTTTATATATAAGAAACATTGTATAATCTTCCTTTTGCTTAATTTTGTTATAAATAACTGCTTATGAAAATAAAGTGAGGAAGCAAATTGTACATTCAAAGACCACTTTTTGTGATTCTCCCCCAAAGATGGACCATGCACATACAATAAATATTGGTGAAAATGTTATGGATCAAATTCAAATGTAGAAAAGCTTAACAACAACAAACATTTGTGGCCCTTTAATCACTGTAAAGTATGGATTAAATAATACAATATTTTACATACTTTTCACCTATGCACTCTATATGAGTCATATAAAGACAATTTTTAATATGGTATAAACAATAAATGTCTATCTCTGTTTACTTGCATATCAGAATATTTACATTTGCAAATGTTTTCTTTTATATAACACTATTAAGAGCAATGCGTATCTATATCCGTATAAACACGGGTTCCCCGCGTCATAATGGTTCAACGTAATTTCTCAGTGACGTCATAAAGGGTCCACGCACAATCAGTGGATCAGTTGGGTTTGAAAAATAAAACGTTTCATGCGTTAAAGATTATAATCAGGTGAATATAAAATATGAACAAGTCACAAATTTAAATATAAGTAATAAGGTATCATTTTAAAACATCGATCGGGCTATAAATACGGGTTGGTACGAGATCAAATTTACCATAAAGCCCGAAGAGATCAAATTTACCATAAAGCCCTTTGGGCTTCATGGAATTTGATCTCGTGACCAACCCGTATTTATATCCCGATAGATGTTTAAAAATGATACCTTATTTCTTAATTAACAATTACAGTAATTGCAGAGAAAAAAATTTATGCTTCTCTAAGTTATGTATAAATCAGCAAAGCTATACATTTCAGAAAATCAGCCTTAATATTAATGCTGTAACAGAAAAAGGCTAATATATTGTATCTGTATGCTTTTATTTAAAAGACTTTTATAATTACCTTCAACATTTGCTTCATTTTTCACATCTCTACCTTTTGATACTGCAACTTTTCCACAGTTTTTGCTCTTTTTAGTAAAAGGGGAGTGATCTAGTTTGTACCATCCTGTGACCAATGAGATATTATTGTGTTCTGAGAAACCAGGTGCTATTATTTTAGCCAGTGACAATGGAATGACCCCGTAAGACTATCACACAGATCCATTGGTATGGAAATAGAAAAATGTGCTTGATTTCCTACAGAAAAAAATAAAAACATATGCAATTGGTAGCTGTGTCTAAAATGCTCTAAAATAATCTACTAACAATCTAAAATGCTTTCATCTCTTACTTTTTATCAGAAAAACTAATTCTTAGGTCTTTCTTAAGTTTTCCATGCATTTTCAGGTACAAGATCTTTACTAAAAAGATTAAAAAAAACTAGCCCCTTGGCAAAAATATCAAGTTAAACTGATGCTTCAAAGAACAAACAAAATAAGACCAATTATTCTCACCACTGCCTGTTCTACCATCCCATGCAGCATTTGTCTTTTTATCCAGCAGAATATGAAACTGGGGAAACATTGGAAATCTGTATGGATGCACAAATATTGCTTTTTTCTTCACTAGGCCTGCCAATATCACCCGTGCATTAGGCCAGTCATCCAATGGCTGATAGAAGAAGTAAAACTCAGTCACCCTTATAATTTTTGCTTTGATTTTCTGCATATCCACTTTGCATTCTAACTTCATGTATCTTAAGCCTTTTATTTCATCATATTTTGCATGCATTTGGGTAAAGCCACCTAAAAGAAATAACATGTATTTAAAATCTAATTTTATTCCTTAACTCAAGTGGTTTTAGATACTGTACTGTAAAGTTTTATAAATGTCATAACATTACACATGAGCAATCTTGAAAAACATGTACAAGATGATAATATATGTGCATATGTGTATCGTATAATATATGCTAGAAAGTAAACATGTTAATAAATTAATTTAAATAAAATGTTAATAAAACATTTTGATTATCTTTCATCCATTACGTTAAATATTAATGTACCTGGTACAAGTACCACAAGCTGAAACAAGATGCTTAAGAGCCTCATCATCACCCACTTTAGTAATTTAACCTTTAGTTAATGGCTTGTTGTTCTCAAGATTGACTGACTAACTGTATTTTGTGTAACATCCTATTCAAGAATTTCTCCCCCACGTAGAGATGTCACCTGCATGAGGTGATGTGCCACAAATTTGTCCTATGCATGGCACTTATGGCTATAGCACTGAGGGTTCTTTATTGTGCTAAGGCTTATTGTCACATAGAACCTCAGTTGTTAAGGTCCTCTCTGAAAGACCCAGAGGAGGGACCAACTTCCAACTTTTAAAATACCAATAACAAATCTAAAAAACATTTTTCCATTTGCAAAAATCTTATTTCCAGGGGAGATGTGAGATTAATACATCATGTAAACATTGTCAATCTTTTCCATCTTCTTGGCAAAATTTACATGCATTCCTGATGGAAGCACTTAAGACTCCCTTCCATATTCCCTCCCAGTTCCTACAGGTCTGTCACTTGTTACAAAAAAATTACCTTCAATGTGCCTGTCCCTGATTACAAAAAAAATTAACCAATCTATATTTGTAATATCTAAAATTATTTCTTTTTTTTTTACAACATGCAGCACTTTCTGAAAAAATATGGGAAAATGTTATGACCATGGCCAAAAAGAACATTTCAGCATACACACCCTTTGATGGTCTTTGTTTTGGATCTTCTTCAGGAACTAAAAATGGATATTCTTTATTGTAATCCTTTGAAAAATACTCAATTTTGAAAAAAATGATTTCTTAAGGACACATAATTACACATTCTAGTTCTTAGGCTGTGGTTGAGTATATTTTAATTCTGATTTGATAACCTGATGCAACATAGAACAATCTTGCAGATTCCAAATAGATGTCTGGTAGAGTGTCCTGCATAAAACACAAATGAATATGCAAAATTAAACAAACATAAAGCAACTTTCAACATTATCACTTTAACCAGAATTTTCTATGTTTCAACTTATAAACATACCAAAAGTTCAAGGTACTGTTTCTCTTCATCTTTATTTTTCTTTTGTGTATTACCTATAAAATCAGTACAATCTTTAAAGATGTGAACATGACACTTTTTAAATACCCTATCCCCCCCCCCTTCCAACCACTCCATCCCACTCCAAGATGCAACAGCTATTAGGTTTGATGATTCTAGGTCTCACACTGTACAAAATATAATTTGGACACAATTTGACATTGTATAGCTACATGTATAGAAATTCAAAATGAGGTCAATGTGATCTACTTTTGAGTTATGACTCATCTTCCTAATTGTAAAGCCATTATTTACACACTGAAATTTCTACGGATTTTTCCGTTTACCTATTCATGACAAGGAGCACACAGTGGGTGTGACCAGTCGACAGGGGATGCTTACTCCTCCATGCGACCTGATCCTGCCTCCGATGTTTCTGGAGGTCCATGTTTGCTCTGCTCCCAATTTGTATTGTTTAAATGGACTATGAGCTTGAATACTGTTCTTTATCTCCATATTTCATTCCTCCCAAAACATATCAACTGACAAGGTTTGATGGTCCTAAGCCTCAATGTGAAAGATATTACTGGAACAGATGGACAGATGGGAAATACTATGCCATAATGCAGTCCAACAAAAAACAGGCATATAATTAGAAATAATAACTTTATTAAAAAAAAGAGACCCAAGAGCCTGAACAGATACCTGAGAATAATACAACACTGTTGTATTATACGTGTACTACAAAATCTTATCGTGTATACATTCTTAATACAGAGAATCATTAGATTTTTTGAATCTCATAAAATCTATTAAGAATAGAGCAATGTTCTATTTCTTAATACAAATTTTAGCTGACCTTTTATTCCAATTAACGAATCAAATGGTTTTGTATGTAAAGCAGGGTCATATATTAACCACTCTATTTTTATTCATATTACTTGTTGGTTTGACTCAAAAAATTCAAATTAAACAATTTACCGGTACATAAAACAGATTCCTTTAGTTACAAAGAATATCATTATATGCCATATACTTCTTCCTCTTATTTAAGCGACTCAGATAAATGCAAATATTACTGGTACAAAATATTTGTGTTATTAGTCCCCTACCGGTGAAACCAGAGGGGGCTACTGGTTTCCTCTTCGTCTGTCCATCTGTCTCACTTGGTTTTCGGCACTTTTTTCCTAAACGGTTGCAGATACTGAGCTGATTTTTGGTATGTGAGTGTATCTTGATGAGTTACAGATCAAGTTTGCATTTTGTTCCACTTCACTGATTTTTGACAGAATTACAACCTTTTCAATTTTTAATTGGGGAGGGGGGTAGGTTCCAACTTCTTTCAGTACCAAATTTTATTCATACACTATTACAAAACCCTTATTTGACTATTCTACAACAAAAAGTAGGGGGACCAACTGGCCTTTCAATTAATATTTCAAATAGTAAAAAAAGTCTTTGGAAAAAAGTGGGGGGGGGTCAGCCCCCCCCCCCCCCCCCCCCCGTTGCTACGTGCCTGAAAAGTATTACAATTATACTTGCATTATAATACAAATCTGTGAATACCAGCTAGCCTTCATTCTCTTTCATAATTTTCTTATTCAATTGACCTTTCAATTACATTTTTTACATCGATTAATTGTTAAAATTGATTAATTCATAGGTGAATTACAAAGGGGAATAACTTTTCTTGGTAGAATACAAAATGGAGTCCTACCCAGCACCAGAACACTTAACCAAGTGGTTCAGATTTTCAAAAATCTGGTAAACATACCCTTGCTTAGTACAATTTTGTACCCCTTCACCCATGATTGCTATATGCCAAAATTGGTTGAAATTGGTTCTGATCAGCAGTTCAAGAGAAGATGCTAAAAATGTTCAAATGTTAATTAACGCACAACACATGACTACGGATGAAAACAGATACATGTAGCAATAGGTCACTTGAGTGACTTAGGTAACCTAAAAATTGGAAAAAAATAATCAAAAATGGAAACTTTGAAAGATTTGTCATTTTTGCATATCAAAAAACAGCAGTACCTAATTTGATCAGGAATAAGTAAATAATACAAATAAATAAAGACATAAAATGAATAGATGAACATACATTTAGAACTTACTCCTCCTCCTGGTGCTTTGTCAGCATTAAAATATGCATAGACAGGATGTCCTAAAAGATTACTTCTTGTCCTAACCTTTATTAGAGCCTCACACTGGAATTGGCCAGGAGAGTCACAATCATCCATTATAATGAAGTACATTTGCAGATAATCAGTTTTCCCTGTAATATTTGTTGTCAAAACATTCTTAAAATTATAATTAGTAGATATTTTTATTATTACTACAGTAAAACTTCTCTTATCCAGGCACCACTGGTTCCCTTGAAGTTCGCCAGATTAAACAACATTTTAAACAACTGAATTTACAGAAAGGGAATTTACAACATATTAAGCAAGATTACGGAATACACAATATCCAGATTAGACAAGTTTTCAAGTAAATCCAAAAAACGCTTTTGAAATTTGTAGAAAACTGAGGGCCTTTCACAACTAAATAAACATAACTTCAAGATCTAAATATCAACATTAATTCAGTCATAGAGTGAAAGAAGAATACAAAAAAATCACATAAGTAAAATTAAAATTCAATTTTGATTTAATGGAACTTTGGAATGATCATCAATATCAAATGTATATATATAAATACATTTTATAAATTTCAACATTTATGTTCTTGACCATTCACAACATGCATGTACATACCATTGTAAATATAGCATTGTTATACTTTAAAGATTTGTTCCTTTATAAATCTTACATACTAAAAAAAAGTCTAACATTTTCAATGTTTTACTGAGTGATCATAAAAAAATTTATGTTCGACCGCGGAGTGAGATATTGGACCGCTTATGTCACACAATGGGCAGAATCACCTAAATCTCATTTGCATTCATTGGTGTTTGACAGTGATGGAATTGACCGAGTTTAATGTCAATGCTAGTAAAGGAAATTTACGAGGGTTGATCCAAAAGTTCATGGAATTTCTTTCTAAAATTTTATCTTGATGTGATTAAAGCAAACATTATAGACATATTTATAAAAAAGAGCCATTATACAACAATACTGGAAAATTTCAAAAAGTTCCAATTACCATTAAGGGCACAGGAGCTCTCTTAACATGGAATCACTTGTAAAATCCGGGGGAAACTTCGACATAACATCGTAAGGTATGTCACGTAACGTTGTAGGAGCATCTCACCCTTACGTTCAAATTGACTTAGAAATTCTACAAAACGCCGCATTCTTTTCTCCATTTCTGCTCTTGAGAAAAGCCTGGGTACCAATCTCGCACCCACTTTCTTCTTCTTATGATCATTTCTCAAAATACGCTCCATCATTCCATATGATGTTCCTATTTTAGTAGCAATGTCAAGCAAAGTACGTCGGCGGTCCACGTCCATTAACGCTCTCAATTTGTCCTCACAGTGAGTATTAGGAATTGAAATGATAATGAACGAATGTCTCCCCCGCATTTTCAAACATCCATTCCTATGGCAACTGCCAAAGTGCTACAATCATAAACATTTAAAATATTTTTTTACTTAAAAGAATCCAACAAGTGTATATATCTCCATCTGTAATTTTCAATCACTTCCACCAAAAAATAAATAAAATATTAAAAAATTCCACGAACTTTTGGATCAACCCTCGTACATCACGGAAGCCAGCACAAGATACATGGTTAAAAAAATAAAAGGTATGATAAAACAGTTATTGACTGTGTTCTCGGAGCAAAAATGTGTTTTGTCGACCCCTCAAAACAAACAGTTGGGTTCTTGTTTCCGACTAAATGCATGTTGCCCTCGAACTCAGTCAATAAATGTATATTGTGAAATGCCACCAATAAACTATCTGTCATTATACAGGACTCATGTTAATTCACCAGAATGTGTGTCTGAGAAAGCGTTGCTGCTCAGAGAATTTAGAAAGTTTAAAACTGTTCCAGTTTTACTTCTGTGTCACTATGCTTGATACATTTACATTTCCAACTGATTTCTCTGTGATAACTCTTTGAAAGTTATGTCTGTTGATTTTTCAATATTTACTGAATGTAAATTTCGCCAAGTGAAAGGTTGAGTGCTGAATATGCACATCAATCTATTAAGGCAGCTGTCTTTGTGTCTGATGTCAGTGGGCGGGGACCATGAAAATTAACATGGAATGCCTTGTGTATTTTAAATCTATTTGACAGCATTTTTATTTATATTACACTTTTATTTCACATATAAATGTATATATAAGGAATCATTGTCTAGTTTGTTGGGTTACAATGTCGGGGACATCAACTACAGTTGGAAACATGGGATAATCACTTCGCCCGTTATGCAACTTATCCCACGTTTCCAACCGTCGTTGATGCTAGCATACCCAACAAACTAAACAGTGATTTCTTAAACATATTATTTGTCCCTCCATTCTAAATTCAGCTTCAATATTTGACATTTAATAGATTAAGAATTGCCTCACTCACTCACTCAGTTTGTTTAAAATATAAATTTCCAGGATTATAAGTAGATGCAAGTATTTTCACTACTAAATAAAAGAAGAAACCATATAGTTTATTGAATTAATTTGAACTGTGATTTCTAATGTGTCGGGCTATAAACAAAACAAGGTACAGTGCTACCTCGGTATATTGCCAACTTTTGTCAAAGACAGATTTTGGCATTAAAGCGCGGGTGGCAATATAACGAATTCTGCCATAAATTACAAATCAGTGGGTAATCAAAACAAAATAAATAGATTACATAATTTATTTCAGTTACAATCTATTTATGTCACATGTGTATAAGGGCAGCTCTCATTTCTTTTTGAAAAAAAAGTCATTATTATTATAATTTTTTTTTTGTTTACAATATTTTGACTGAAAAGAAATACAATTTCCTTTTGTCAAGCTCTAAGAATTTAATAACCCAATGAAAAAGATGTCAGTGGCTGTTATAGCCTTTTGTTATAAAAAAGTTTTTGAGAATTATCATTAATTTCATCTGAATCAAAAGTAGATTATTTCACCATCTCAAGAATTTCTGAATCAGTTAAAAAGTTTGTTTGGTAAGCATCATGACTGACGAATGGTAAGTCAAATGTCAGAATACGTCAACCCATTATATTAAGCATGTATTCTTGTGTTTGCTAGTACCTTTGTACTTCTCTTCCGATTCAGTTTTGATATTTATCAAACAAACCAATATATGCCCGACAATTAAAGAAAATTTCAGGGCTAAAGGAATCCCTAATATTTTCATGTGCGGAATTGTAGTAGTCTAAAAATAGATATGGGTTTCCTTAAGGCTTCTTAATCTATGGGGACACAAATGAATTTTTGCATTTATAATGGTTTCGTGCATTATCCATGAAAAGCAATAATCAGGGTTTTACAATCAAATAGATCGAATGTTGATCAATCTATTTTTGTAAACTAAATTTGTACGCTTTCTCTCGCCTGACATTTCCGTTATTGTGATGAAATAATTCTTCTATCTTATAAACAGTGATGATGATGATGTCAACATTGCTAATTTTGAGTTTTATACAACGATTATCTTTCATTCAGCTGAATTCCTTGTCCAGCCAGTCACGCTTCACCACAACCACTGACAAGCATGGGTGTGGTATCCAAATTACTGACACGTGCTAGATAATTGGCATTGTTACCAAGGGATTTCCTTACATAATTTGACCTTTTGTTTCCCAAAACCAGTGGCGGATGGCAATAATCGGGGGTGGCAATATAACGGGTATATTAACACAGGAGGAAATCCATTCTTCAAGAATTCCTGGCAATAAGCGAGGGTGGCAATATATAGCGGAGGGCAATGTACCGAGATAGCACTGTACTATCACTGACTGAGGTGCTATAAATGATTAACAAGAGGGTCACAAAGAGGGTCACAATGCTCACCTGAGTAACTATGGCCCTTCTGTTCTTTGTCAGCAGATTCTTTTCCCTACATATTCTTATGTAAAACTTTGATCGCATATTAGAATCTATACTACCAGAGGATGTTCCATATATATATGACTAATCATGGCTTCATTGTTCTTGAGAAGATTTTTAAAGATTTTTCCAAAGTATTCCCAAGCAAAACTTTAATCACCTATTTGTGGCCCCACCCTACCCCAGGGAGTCATGATTTGAACAAATTTGAATCTACACTACCTGAGAATGTTTCTACAAAAATTTCACCTTTTCTGGCCCAGTGGTTCTTGAGAAAACTTTTAAAAGATATCATTAATTTTTCACTAATTTATAATCATCTCCCCTTGGGAAAAGGTGTGTTCCATCATTTGAACAAACTTGATTTCACTTTACCCATCTTTGTCATAAGTTTGGTTGAGATTGGCTTAGTGGTTCTTGGAAAGAAGTCAAAAATGTAAAAAAAAAAAAAAAAAAAAAAAAAAATGTACATACAAACAGAGGGACATACAGATGGACAGACAGACCAGATGTGAAATGAAAAAGTGAAAATGTGATCAGAAAAGCTCACTTGACCTTTGGCTCATGCAAGCTAAAAATGTAAAGGTAAAAAGACATTAGTAGTTGTGATTTCTTTTCCAGTAGAAACAAGAGGCCCATGGGCCATAGTGCTCATCTAAGTCACTATGGCCCTACTGTTTTTCATCTACTGATTTTTTTGTATTCCTATGTAAAACTTTTGATCATTCATCATGTGGAATTCAGCTCAGGTGAGCTAAAAAGGAGGCTAGCGTTTGGATTATCATATTATAAAGTGAAGAAAGGTGCCTCATTAGTCCTTTTCTTATTTTCTAATAGTGGTTAGCATTGACAAAAATCAATATTTGGCTTAGAAATACACACTTACATTTATGAATTTTTTCTAATCGATGATCACCACCCTGATTTTCTGCAGCACACAATATATGAGGCTTGACTTCTTTTTTAAGATCTCTCCTGGGTTGCCATCTTATGTTAGTAAAACCCATTCTTTCATAATCCAGATACCCTGCACCTGCAATACACACAATTAAACTAATATAATACACTTATGTGAAATGTCATTTGCAAATTTATGTTCACATTTCCACTATCCTACCAGCTCAACTTTTGTTATTATTGCTATAATCATGTGATTTTCTATTTTTAAATCATTGAATGGTGCTTTGATATTATGCAACACATATAATTATCAATCTAATAACTGTAAATACTGTATAATGGGGGGTTTTAGCAACCATCTAAGTTTGACAGTACGTATTAGGAATGGTTTTGATAACCCTAAAAATAAATGATGCTAATAATCAAGTCACAAATAAATATCTAAGAAAATAGATAAAGATATCCCTAAATATAATTGCTATAAATTAATCATGCTAATTTAATAATCAATGCCCATTTTTAGGATAAAATTGCTAAAATTGACAGTTTCTAAAACAGGGCTTTCAAAAAGATTAGAAACAGGGGGTACTTTACAAAAATAGGAGGTACCTTGTGGAAGTGATTTAAATTAAAAATATGTTATAGAATTTTTCTCCATCAAATATTTTGGCCGATATAATCACAATTTCAGTTGGGTAAAAGTACCAGGTACTGGCAAATTTTGAAAGGCCCGCTAAAATAACCCATTATACAATAAATTCATCCATATTACAATGCTAGCCTGAAAATATTATACACTTTATAGTTGCATTGTTCCAATGATAATTGCAGTGCCAATCATGCCCAATAATATCCTTTAATTTCACCGTACAAATGAATGTTGCTGTGAGAAAAAAAATATTCCTCTTGGTTAAAAAATAAAATGATCTCCTACCTCCAATCATTTTGAATTCATCGGATGGTTTAGGCCATCTGAGCTTACTAGGCATATGCTTGGCACTCCACTGTACAATGAAAAAGAAAGTCCAATCAGCTACGTTATGAGCTTCCTTTTCAACAGTATTGTAGTGACATTTTACAGACACAATTTTTGATTTACCAATATGTTTAACCTCTCCTGTAGCAACAATCATTCTTAATTCTGTAAAGGAATAAATGATTCTTATGAGAGACCATGCAATGATAAAAATAACCTTGTACTCAATATGACTTTATCATTAAGAAATTTTAAAGCAATTTTTCTAATGCAAGATATCACAATTATGTAGCAAACTTGTTTGTAATGAACTTACAGCAAAGTTGTTTTCATTCCTATAATTATAAACTTATTGAATACATCAAATTACATATACACTGTATAACAAAGCAATCGTTCATCCCTGGCACTTTGCTGTCTACTTTGCTGTCTACTACATGTATTATTGGGACAATTGGGATGTGGTTTCCATGTTTTATTCAAAAGAAAAATTGGGTCTTTAATTCTCTTGCAAGACATTTAATCTCCAATCAAGTTATTTAGAATTATTATGATAATGCAAATTATATCAAAAGTTCCTAATAAAACAAGGAAAAATTAATATAAAATTTATAAATGTTGTGTTCCTGGTTACCTGTCCAATGATTAAACTGCATTTGTTTTTGCCATCCTTTGTATGTTTCCATCATTGTTTCCAGAGTTTTATACTATCAATAATCAATAAGATTTCATATGCATATTTAAAGAGAACAATGAACTTTAAGGAATCATTAATGCCAACTTCTAAACATTTTTTCAACATTTGTAGGTGGGGAGAGGGGTTAGTCTATACCTTGTGCTTGCCTTGACATTGGGACAACAGCATTACTACATCTGGAAAAAAAATTATGTGTTTCTTTTCATTTTCTGACTTCCATGGATATAAGGGATTGGTATCAGCAAAAATTTTGTATCGCTATATATCTAAGATTTTTTTCCAAAAATATCATATTAATAATATCATGATATTTGTGAACTCAGTTTTTACAATAATTTTAAGTGAATATCCATAATTTTTCTAACAAATATGATGTGAAAACTGCATATTTTATATATATTAATCAAGTATGATTGGATGCTAGCTAGGAAGCCGTTAAAGTTGTTTTACAATACTTTCTTTTACACTTCTGGTAATTGTAATTTGAAAGTTTGAACAATAAAATTATTTCTCAGACTGGTATTTGTAATTACCATACATGTAGATGTACTAAATAATGGTATTTTAACCTCTGCATCATGATACATCATGATGCATGTAAAACTGGTACACTGACAAAATTGCACATCCCTAATAGATATAGAACTATACAGCAAAGAGGACTGCACTGCATGCTATTTATAATAATTATACATGTACACATGTATGTTGTTCTGTTGTTTCAACATTTAAAGTTCATGCAACCATTACATCAGTCATATAAGTATAATGCTTAATAAACTTAACTTTTACACTCTCATGTGTGACAGCAAACAGGTTAGAACATAATCAATTTGCAAGAGTTATTTCCCTTAGCCATGATATACATTTTTTCTCAGCATATCCTTTGCAACTTGCCTGCTTTTTAGCGTCACCTGAGTCACTCCAATTTTGGCATACAGCATCTATGGGTTAAGGGGAGCAAAAATTGTGAATTTCATGATCCCTGCCCCCTTGGGGCCTGGGGGGTGGGGCTAAAACTACCAAAATTAATGCAATCTTTAAAAATCTTCTTTACTCCTGGACATCAAGCAGTCAACTGTTCAGATAATTGTAATAAGCATTGAGCCTTCTTATCTACCAAAATTGTGAAATTCATGGCCCCAGGGTCAGGGGCTCTGGTGTTAGGGCGGGGCTATATAGATCATATAGTGAAAGTGCATTATTTCTTTGAAAATCTTCTTCTTTGCTCTTGGGTATTAAACTAAGTACATAGTTATGATGAGCAAGAGTGCCTCTTCCAAAATTTCATGACCCAGGGTCAGGGTTTCTGTTGTTAGGGCAGGGCTCTTTTGATTATATAGTGAAAATACATTAATTCTTTGAAAATCTTCTCGGCAGTGCTCCTGGGTATTAAACAAACTAACTAAGTACATAGTTTTGATGAGCAAGAGTTCATCTTCAAAAATTGTGAATTTCATGACCCCTGGGTCAAGGGTTCTGGTGTTAGGGCAGGGCTATATTGATTATTAATTTTTCGAAAATCTTCTTCTCTGCTCCTGGGTATTAAACAAACTAAGTATATAGTTATGATGAGCTAGAGTGCCTCTTCCAAAATTGTGAATTTCATGGCCCTAGGGTTAGAGGTTTTGGTGTTAGGGTGGGGCTCTATTGATTATATAGTGAAAATGCATTAATTTTTTGAAAATCTTCTCCTCTGCTCCTGGGTATTAAATAAACTAAGTATATAGTTATGATGAAAAGTTAATAGAATAAGAGAATTATGCCAAAAAATTATAAAATTGTATAATACAAAAAGTACTTTTATAGTTTTAATGATCAGATAGACTTGTAAGTAATAGATATATAAAAATGAGACAAAAATAACTCATTTTAAATGTTCTTCAAAGACCAAGAGAGGCCAATGTGAGAGGTTACAATTTGTGGTTCAAAATAGGACAGAAGCACTAATTGTTTGTTAATAGTCTGCATGGTGATAGTGATAAATGGGAGACAGATTAGAACTTAATGTATGAGTTGTTAATGAATACTAGACTAATTATTTCAATGATCCTGATCATCCTATTTCTCTTGCTTTTGGGCAACAAAGCTTCATCTACCAGTTTAATTTATACTCTATGGATCCTCTATATTGTTGTATTATACTCAGGTGACTGTTAAGGCCCTTGGGCCTCTTGTTAATTTTAAATATTCAAACATCTTTTTGACAATTTTATACCATACCTATTGGCATCTTCGCTAGCCAAGGGTTTCCGATCTGAAATCTACTCTACAACTCTTGTAGAGTAGATTTCGGATCGGAAACCCTTGGCTAGCGAAGATGACCTATTGGCAAAGTTTTGGGACAACAAAGAAAACATCATGAACACACACATTTTATTTATCAGATATACTGCCCTCTAAAGCTGGTAATGCTCTTTGTATACACATGAATTTCAGTACATGTACTATAATTTGTTGAATCTTATGGTTTAGATATCAATTGATGATGCAAGATAAAAAGTTATGTTTAATTTGAATCTTCATTTTTTTACACTTTACTGGAGCCCATAACTGGGTATCGCAAAATATTTTGCATCGTGATGTATCACGATTTTTTCCCAAAAATATCATGATACATTTGTAATAAGATATTTTTATACATAATATTTTCTATGATTTGAAATGAATTTTCATGATTTTTCTTAAAAAATATAGAGTGAAAACATAACTTCAATTTTTTTCATTTTTATTTATATATTTAATAAATAAATTTAAGGCATGTTTGTGATGCTAGAATGTCGCTGTTCTACTGTTTTACAACGTTTTTTACAAGTTCTATAATTGAAATTAAAAAATTTGAACAAAAAATAATTTTTTTCTTTAATTTATAGTAACATTCTAAATATCGGTATTCAGTCTCCATATCATGATATGTATCACACAATAAAAAGTCATGATATAGGGGTATACTATACCAATAAAATCGCACATCCCTAACAAGTGCACTTGTTCTTTACAAAATATCATGGCAAAAACTCAAAGGCTTTATACATACAGACAGAATGTATGAATTTCTGACTTTGACCTTTGACCCTTTCACCTCAAAATCAATAGTGGTCGTTTTTTTTCAGCCATAGGGATTTATGTGAACGTTATACTTTATTGCATGATCATGAGGGAAATACATGTATGAAGATTTATTCAGCCAAGAAAAATCATATTCCTTGAGGGCTTTACCCGAGGGGAAAATGATATTTCTTGGCTGAATGAATCTTCATGTTTCCAAAACATTCATGCAATAAATTGTTTATTATACTGAAACAAGCGAAAACTTTAAAAATAAACACAAACCTTCAAAGAACTGTGAACGATAGTATTGTTCTGCCGCCTACCTTCAAGTCAATTTTCAAAAGTTAATATATTTGAATGATTTTTCATATTTATATAGATATTTATATGGATTTTCACAAAGCGTAACCTATTTGGGAAAACAAAGAGAGATAACTCTATAATTTTGGTAAAACTTGTGTTTTTCACTATAGAAATCCATGGAAAACCGAAAATATTTTTAAAATATCATCCCCCCCCCCCCCTCCATCGTGAAACAAAAATTCCTTTCTACAGGTATTCAAAAATTGTTATTTTACATATTCATGCCAAAGCTTTTGTTGTTTCACGCGGGGGGGGGGGGGGGGGGGGGGGGGGGGGGGGGGATGGGACATTTGTTTACAGACAAAAAACAGCAAAAAAGATCATTTTTCACCAATTTCAAAGGGCTTTACACCTAAAACACAGGGTTAGAAACTCCCTAAAATTACAACTCGCAAATAATTGTGTGTACCAACAAAGTGAACTCGCAGTTTTATAAGTATACTCGCAATTTTCATATAAAGTTAAATTTTTATAAATTAAATACATGTATTAACTTAAGAAAAAAGTAACTACTGTACAATACACAAAATACAACTACAGTGTGACTTTTATTTAAATTACGGATTTAAATCAAAAGTATTGTGTTCTGTCATATTATATAATTTTGCTACAGTTTCAATGCAAAAAAAATCAACTCGCAAGTTTTTGCGAGTTACCTAATTTTTAACTCGCAATTTGGGAATTCTAACTCATGTTTTGCAAGTTGTATATAGTGAATTTCGAACCCTGAAACATTGTACTTTATCAATCATATGATGAGTTGAACATTAGAAAAAATTAAAGGGACATTTCTTAATATCCAAGAATATTTTTAAAATCTGGTGCCTGATTTCAATGGAAAACATTGTCTACCCCCGTTCTAAAAGAGTTGGAATTAAGATTAATTAATTATTTGACACTGGTATTAAAATTATTAATCAATTACCATTGAACTCTTCTTTGCATTGAAAAAAGATTTTATGGCCAAATTGCCATTAGTATTGAATTAAACCAGTGTAAAATGTAGACAGGAATTGAGAGTTAGTGTTCCTAGTTCTTTGGCGCTG